ACATAAATGATCATTGTTTATTACATTATAGTCTCCACGCTCATCATCGAAACCAAAATTACAACCACTCAATTCGGGGCTAGATGGGACTTTTTGGGCATTTTGACCCACGAAATAAACCTCAGGATAGTCCAATATTTCAGAACGTTCATATAATGATAAAGATGGTGCATAAGTTTTAAGAGCTACATGAGGACTCATAGCTAAAGACCCTTTAGTTCGGGCATCTTGTTTCTTTCGTTCCCTCTCGCGTTCTTTTTTGTTTTTATCAGATTCTGGTATGAAGCAGGTGGTTTCATCTTCACCACTTGTCGTATTATCATCATCGTATTGAACGGAATTATTATAACCACCTGGCGTACTTGCAGTAGAAGAAGAAGAATCTACATCAACACCGTAATTAGGAATGAGTAAGGACGAGTTAGGAAGATTGGTAGTTGAGGAGTTTGCACTAGCGGAGTGTGAAGTTGTGCGGTGTTTACGACCAGTCGTTGAAGGTATATTTGTCGGAGTTTTTGCAGTAGAAGATGAACTACCGTTCTTATTGCCTGAAAACATATTAGATATAGCAGTGGATAGGCGCCTTTTTGGGGTAGTTCTTGTAGGTTCTTTTAGTTGAATAAAATAAAAAGATTTTATTGTCAGGCATTAGTAGAAGTAAAGATTCTAGAGTGCCTAAATAGATGGGTAAATTTTACTTATTTAATTGAATAATTATTTTTATCTTTAAATTATCAAATTGTTAAAAAATATACATTTCTTTTAGGATCCTGATGATTCTCATAATATCGTCCATATGGATGATCATTTTTACTTCCGGAATCATTTATGCATTGTATTTGAACTTTTGAGCATGAACTTGTACGAGTTCATAAAGAGTCATGACTTCCAAGGATTCAGTCTTGGGTTAATAAAAAGGTACGAAATATATAGCTTTTATTTCAAAAAAAAAAAAAAGAAAGGTTAATAATATTATAATTAAACATATTGATTCATTCTACATCACAAAGGTTCTGCGTCCAGCTACTTAATTCATTGTCACTGCTACAAAAGCACAATATAGTACATTGTGATTTAAAACCGGAGGTAGTTGTCGATAAAATTACATCTTATGCTTCATTGACCCGAACCATACTTAATAATGAATAAATTTATTATCTATGAGCAGAATGTGCTTTTAAAACATCCGACAAAGAGCAGCATCAAAGTCATTGACTTTGGCAGCAGTTGTTTTGAAAACGAAAAAGTATATACTTATATTCAAAGTCGGTTTTACCGATCCCCTGAAGTCATATTAGGAATGACATATAATATGGCAATCGATATGTGGAGTTTAGGTTGTATACTTGCTGAGCTATATACAGGTTAGTAATGTGATTCATTTAATCTTATACAGTCTACTCTCGTTAATATCAACTTCGTTAATATCAACTTAAAGCTATAAGATGAATTTTTACAAATTATTATATATTAAAATTCCCTCATATATATCAACTTTATTATAATCCTTTGTTAATATCACTATCAACATGAATTTAAACTAATTCAAATAGGTTGATATAAACGAGGGTAGACTGTATAAAATTTTCTTATCGTCATTTATTATTAATATCATATTATGTTTAATATAAAGTATATTACTGTTATTTATTATTAATATCATATTATGTACTTATAATCGTAATTAGGCTATCCCCTTTTTCCAGGGGAAGGTGAACAAGAGCAACTGGCATGTATAATGGAGATTCAAGGGATCCCTGAGAGATATTTAATAGAAAAGAGTACAAGAAAAAAGCTCTTTTTTGGTAAAAAAAAAAAAAAAAAAAAAAAGTTTTTTTTTAAATTTTTTTTAATTTTAATTTATCATATTATTAAACCTACACTTTTTTCCTTAGACACAAATGGAAATCCACGTCCTGTTGTAAATTCAAAAGGTAAACGTCGGCGGCCTGGAACGAAGACGTTGCAGAATGTTTTGAAATGTCAAGATGAAGTTTTTTTGGACTTCATATCACGCTGTCTGCATTGGGATCCTGAGAAACGAATGAAGCCGGATGAAGGTCTCATGCATGAATGGATAACTGATGTGAAGCTTAGTGTAAGTGATTAATTTAAGATTATATATAATTTATAAAGTATTTATCGTAAGGAATTAAATCCGAATAAACGTTTTACAGACCAGGAACTATCTTACAAACTACGATTTAATGAGGCGACAGAGCCCAACGTCATCCTCTCATCCGTCATCAAGTAGTAGTCTTTCGATGAGACAAGTTAACACCTCCTCGTCTCGTGGAGCATTGAGTTCACAGCAAATTTCACACAGCACTCATAAAACGACTTCTACTTCGAACCAGAATCACTTGGTTCCCGGCCATCCTCCAACACGCAGGAGCCTTGATGCGCAAATACGTAGCAATGGTACGAGGCATCAATATGTCACATCTATTCCGATGTCCTTATCTGCTCGAAGCGGGAAATCCTAATTTTTTCCCAGTTCCAATTGGACGTATGAATTACCATCTCTAATTGGATAAAGTAGATTATGCCATCCTTATCACCGCCGTAAAATACCCAAAAAATTAAGGGCAGTTTCTTAAACAAATTAATATATTATTATCAATTAATTTGTTTAAGAAACTTGCTACCAAAAAAAAGTTCTCTCAAAATATTTATGGTTTTTTTATTTATAAAAGGAAGCAAAGACTTCAGATTTTAAGGCATTTTATAGTCTTTATTTATGCACTTTATACTGTAAGTTTTTTTTTTTTTTGCTAGTAAAAATTGCAAAACAATTTAAAATGCAATTTAAACATTGAGTAATAAAAAAAAAAAAAAAAAAGAAAAAAAAAAAGGGCCTCAACCTATTTATGTATTGGTTATTCAAATTGGTCGGTACTTATTTTTTCAAGATGAAATTTTATTGAGAGATATACGTTATAAACTTTTAATAAACTTTAAAAATATAACCAACTCTCATTATAACAAACTTGTACAATATATTTTAAAACTTTGTTTATAAAAGCAATTAGTTCGATACTGTATTAAAAAAATAGAAAAAGTTGATTATCTATAAACTATAATTTTTTTTACTTTAATATTTTGGCAAATTAATCTAACTTGAACAAAAAAAAGAGAGCTTTTTTATATATATATTTTTATTTTAATAAAATATTTATTAAGATCTTTGTATCATATAAATATTCAAGTGTAAAAATATTAAAAAGAAGAGAATAAAACCTACTTTTTTTTGAAAGTAGTTTATACAGTATAGTTTTTAAAATATAATAAAATTATAAAAATAAAATATAAGAAAATAATAAAATACATACAATAATAAAATATAATAACAAATTTGTATAACAAAATAATAATTGTATTTAGATTATTTAAATAAATTAAGTTATAGATTTTAATATTAAAAAAAATAATAAAAATATTAATTTTATTAAGAAAAATTTAAATAGTGCTCCCATGTATTTTGTACTCTTCTAATTATTAATAATAAACAAAGATAAAGACTAACATTAGAGTTAGGGTTAGCATTAAAGTTTTTTTAGACTAAAATTGCAAGAATAATATTTTTTATTAGTTATACAACAGGGTTACCCTAGTAAAATTTTAAAATATTAGCAATTTTTATAGTAAAAAGCCACAGTATATAGAGTACTATCTAGTCTAGTTTTTTATTAAATGATTTAATATAATATAGACAAACCTTATTATAGTTAATTTTAATATAGTTATCTTGATATATGGGGTGAAGTTAATAGAAAAGGGACAAATTTTTTCTAAGTAAAAGTTATTTGACTTTAAGTTTAAATATTTTAGCAATCATCTTATTAAATTTTATAAATTTTTTTTTATTTTAATTCTATATAA